TATAATAATTCGAATTATTATAATATGTCTTTTCATTTAACAATATTATAATGTGTTATCCTTTGATGTTAATCGTATATATTATAATAGTTGTTCTGCTTTTCGTTAGTTGTTTCCTGATGATGATAATTGTAAATTATCGAAAGCTCGAAATAAACTCGTAATTTTCGTTGAAAATTAAATATGTTCTTTGTTGCAGTCTTATACTCTTTTATTACTTATTTACTTCCAACTGCAGTAGCTTCGAATTAGTTATGACCATTTTATTCATGATGACTAAGCATTTTACACATTACATTTTCTGTACAAATAAAATATGCTTGTAACGTCTGAAAAGAAATACCGTTTGCTAGGTCTTTTTATATGATTCGATAGAGTTTGACGAGCTCTGCAAGAATATGCATATCAAAAAAAGCTCCGATGCTGTTTTCAATAGAAAACTTGATGGAAATAAGAAACAGTCATAGAAGCCTCATATATCCTGCATTAGAGAGAATATTCTGGACTGACATGGTCCCCCTGTAATACATAATATCCTTTCTCTCTGTTTAATTTAAGATTATTATCAATATTGATCCCATAACTGTTGAAGACTGTAGTCATATTCTCTTGTATTTCTGCTAAATTATTCTTTATATGTACAATAACTTATTCTAATCTACCAATAGTAATATTCTAAAGAAGTTTTGCACATCATATGGTCAAATATTTATTAAATTTTGAAGAATACTGATTTTTATTTTTTATTTATTTCTCGTAACTCTCTATTTTATTACATATATTGAAAAGAAATGATGACCATTGGTTAACACTTATGACAATATCGCAACCCTAGCCGTTCTCGATGCAATATTCGAGTTTCATTAACAAAAAGAGTCATAATTATATAACGAAGAGGAGCATCACCCCATCGATACAAAAAGACACCTCTAGATTCATCTATACATTGAATAAAACCAACAACTTCTTTTCGTCGCATAATTGATAAATCGATGATTTCAAAATTATTAAAAAAAATAGGTACTGTGTTTGCATGCCGAAAGATATTGGCGAGCATAGTAGGATTTTGAACAGTTATATTATTTTTACTAATACAGGCGGTGAGCGCATTTCTTACTAGCGTCATTCCTGGAAGTCTAAAGTCAGAGTCCGTTTCTTCTGTGTTAGCCATATAAAGGGCCTGATGTTTGGCCATTATTTCGAATACATTAGGCCATTTACCTGAAAAATGAACATTTACTTTTAAATAATTTTTTCACAAAAAAATGTCATTTCATTATTGCCACAAGCGTTCAAAGAATCTTTCATGCAAGCGATGGTTTTACAAGTATGGAGAAGAATGGTATTAAATAAGTTCGTTACACATATAACGATGATATCTGCTTTTGATTTATTTTGCAACGCGTGATTTCAATCGATCTATTATTAAATTTATAAACCTTGAAATGTCTTTTCAATGTCAACAGAACGAGTCAATGTTTGGTGATTAGCCTGTTCAAAGATTCCTCTCGTTTTTACTGTTTTTTTTCTCTTCAAGATATTTTATTTTTTTATTTCCTTTATACAAATGTTATGATCAATATCATTGAATCTCAGAAACTTCATAAAGAAATCATTTCGATTTTTAGATTTTGACTTTATGTTAAGAAAATATTTGAAATTACCTAAAATTTGCGAATCATCATCAAGCCGCATCATATATCGATACGGTTGAAGAATTTTTAATTCGAATACTCGTTTAAACCAAAACTGACACATTTGTTGATAATTCCATTTTCCTCTATGTGACCAATTTGGATCTCTGATATGAGGATCGAAACCCGGTGGTAATTTATAAAATATATGATCAACATTTACCATTTGAACTTGACGTCGAGTAGCTTGAATTATTGATAACAGGTCTGCTCGAAAAGGATAACCTGTATGAAAGATGATTAAATCTGTTGAACTATTGTCATTCAGACATTGATCAATTTGCTTAATTTTGCCCAGGAGTTTTTGATAAGAAGTATAAGGTTGATTAGCATCACCACTAGTAGTTGGTATTAAGAAAGCAATAACACCTTCCGAAGACTAGAATGATAAAACAAGAATACAAAAAAAAACCTATAAGAATAAATTTACTCTTCGAGTTTGATTTAAGTACTCATTTTTGGAAAATATGTATCCTTCCTCAGCATTTGGAAATGAACTTGATTCCAAATTTATTTTTGTCATATCTTGTTTATAAAACTGATAAGACACTAATTTGTTTACAGAAGTACGAGATAAATAGAAAAATAAAAGCATAATAAGTAAAATAGATAAAATTGCTAATAATAACATTTGTTTACGCAATACTTTTATATTTCTGCAAAAATAAGATTCAAAAAACGAAATATTTCATTTTACAAGAAGAACTTACTCTCTACATTTCAACAAAACATAAGATTTTATTCGATGTAGTCTTCCCACGATGCTCTCAATAATGTGATTTTCATTCCAAAGATGAGAAACTTTTGATGATTGCATGAATGAAATATTGAAACGATTATCTACAAAATGAATTATTGTTTTTGTTATCTATGATTCGAAATAAAAAAATTAATGTAATGCTTACAAGGAATTTTTTATACTCGTTCACTATTTTTTTTTCAAAATTTTTATCTACTTGAAGATTTCTCATAGAGTACACACCTGACCATCCGATAGACATTTCGACGCGTCGATTTAAGGTTACTGTGGTTATCAGAATTCCAAACGGAGCCCTCGGACTCTCGCTTTCCGATAGGTCAAAGACTCGGTGATAATTCAATGAAACGCTGAGTTTTCCATCAGTCGAACGAATTTTATCAAAGTGATCAAAATTTGATCAAAAGAAAAAGAACTTTTTTCCACAGATGTCTCATTCTCGGGTGATCGAAACCTATCAAATAAACGCCGAGGAGTAGATTTGAACATGGATACTTCCAATTAACATTCGTCGAACGTCTAAACTAAATATGCACTATTGTTTATCTATAAAAGTTATCTTTTCAATTGTAGGAACGATAGTACTCTCAAGATTGTTATTTTTAACATTTGTTAACAATTCAAAAGTTAAGAAATACTTGCTGATCAAATAAAAGCATCCTTCACGTGTCTTTAAATACAGAAGGGCTTTTTTTCCTAGAAGTCTCAGCTGCCATATAAGGAGCCGTATTTGATAAATATGGCATTCGATAAATAATTGATTTATATGATGAATTGTAAAGTCAATATAAAAGAAACTTTTCAAACATTCAAAACGCAAGATTCATTATGACTGTGTTCTTCGTCAAAAAGCTGTTAGCGCAATCTCTTGCAGATTAAAAATGTGAAACACGATGGATCTATTGTTACCAATTAAACGGAAATCGTTTTGTTCCATTTCTTTGCGATACATTTGTAGTTAACCGTTTATCTGATGCTTTAGAACTACAGTTACTCTGTCACAGTCTGTGATGGGTCCAAAGCCTGTCTGTCACAGTCTGTGATGGGTCCAAAGCCTGTCTGTCACAGTCTGTGATGGATCACGTGAATGTTTTTCACGGTCCGTGGGTGGGGTGCGAATTTCTACCCCTAAACACTTCAACACTCCTTTCAGATTGTGTTTCACAAACTGTCAATGGATTCCGCTCTTACTTGTTATTTTTCATTAGTTAGTGTTAAATATATTTTAGAAAATTATGAAATTAGGGAAACTATGTGTTGAACATGAATCATTCCACTAGGGTAGCTAAATGAAAGACGCATTTATAAATCACTTTTTGAAGTGTCATGAAATGAAAATTAACCTCACTACTTAAAAATTTTGTTCTGTTAGACTTGCTGCTACTAGAGCACTCAATATTATGCTTTTAGTATGTTTCTTTTCTCGAGTTTTCGACACTTAGTTGACTATCAAGGTGTCTAAAAGTGCTGAAGCAGATTAAAGTGGATGTCCGATAGGATACAGTTTGCGAATGGTCAGAATTCGATGATTACTGATGAACTCGAAAACAGAATAGAACGAACAAAAAGTATATATTTCAAATTTTCGAGCGCTCATCGCAACCATTGTATGCTTTTTTAAGTTTGCTTGGGTAACTTACGTTTCTTTTTCATTTTCATAACAGCTAAAAAATGAGAATAAAATTACTTTTTAATTGGTAATCACAGTCTTTGGTAGTACTTACTTTTAGGAAAAATATTAGCTGATTAATAAAATCATTATTATGACGACGAGTAATTATTTAAGATTATGTGAAAAGTAAAAATTAATATTTTTACATATAATAAGAAGCTTTTTACTAATACTAAAGAAGATCATTTTAAATTGTTTACAAATAGTTATTTATCTTCCTGTTAAAAATTACATGCTGGTTACAATGAATTGTTAATTAATATTTATTTATAAATTTAATATAAGCAGGATATGACTGTGTGGGTGTGAGTGTGAAATAAGAGAAGAAGATTACCCACACTCACACCCGATCACACCCTTGTTTAAAGTTGTCCCTGTGGAGAGGTTTAGTTTATTTCCGAAATAAAATATATTTACAAGAAATGCACTAGTTTTCTCGTTATCTCTTAGGTGTTGATGAATAAAGCAATAAGGTATTGTCAATGGTGCTTCTCTTTTCATCCTTTTTCCGGAAAATTAACAGTTGTTAAAATTTAGTAAAGTTTTCCTGTTGTGAGCATCATTGAGACCTGTCGAAATTGTCCACCATAGGAACCATATTGTGACGATAACTGACGAGAGTACTACCTGAGGCGCTAAAAACCTTTTCGGCTAAGTATATGATGGTTATATAGGACATAGCTAGGAGTAATATATCCTAAATCGGTTCGGGCCCAAGTTACTTTTAGTAGGAGTTATAAATTTTTCAAGTTATAAGCGCAATATCCAGTTTTAAACAAGAAGCTTAGTTTTCTTGAACAAACAACAATGTATTGGACCAAAAGTTTTGTTATATCTATCTCAGCTAACGATCTTGTTTACTTGTAAGCTGCAGTTTAAAAAGATAAAGATGTGAATATTAAACAAAAAAAAGACAATGCAGTAGAACCTATTTTTCATTTACCAGACAATGCTGTTGCCATGATATACGTAGTCTAGACAACATTGATATTAATACTCGGCCTTTTCAACTAGTGATGCAATTGTGTTTTGCCTACATGCGATTAATTTGCGTTCATTTGATGCGTATATGGTAACAAAATATTATGTTTCCACGATTTTTTCATTGATTATCGTATGAATAACATCTGACTTATGAAGACACGTATCGCAATTTCATGATTTCTTTTTCCACTTTTTTATATTCTTTTTCTTTAACATTCACATGTTTATCTTTTTAAACTGCAAATTGCAAATAATCAAGATCATCAGCTGAACTAGATATAACAAAACTTTTGATCCAATACATTGTTATTTGTTCAAGAAAACTAAGCTTCAAGTGTAAAATTGGATATTTCGCTTATAACTTAAAAAGTTCATAAGTCCTGCTAAAAGCGACTTGGACTCAAGTTGACTTAGGGTATGCTACTCGTAGCTATGTCTTATGTAATTATCATATACTCAGCCGAAAAGGTTTTTAGCACCTCGAGTAGTTCCTTTGTTAGATCTATACTCGATTAGATAAATTTTCTAAGTCTTTTGTTGTTAATACATAATACTCTGTTTTATTTTAAACTAGCTAACTTAGTATCTTGGAGAAACTAGGGATGTGCGGTTCCAGTGTGAAAACTGGCTCTAATATCACTGATTCACTGAACACTGGTTACACTGTATCAATACACACTGGCGTGCTGTCGACGCTGGAACGCCGACATATGCCGGTATAGATATGTCTAATATATCAGTAAACGTCGGTGCCCCAGTGTCATCAGTGTGCCAGTGCGCTCTGATGCAGTGTAGCCAGTCGTTCAGTACTCACCGAATCGGTGATATCAATTATCAGTAAACTGGTACTGCACATTCCTAGGAGAAACAAATAGATGCGCAACAATTTTCTTAATATGAGCGCCACCTACTAATTAATTTTCAAGATTGTATAAAACTCCGTTACTTACCAAAAGAGTTTTCGAAAAAGCGGAAAGAAGCACTTTTTGGTAAAAACTTGTGTAAAAAATAATATTTTGTATTTCTTTGTATCAGTTCGGCCAAGCTTTATTACAAAATGATGAGTTCATGCATTATTAAAGAGCATAGAAAAAAAGAAATATAAGTTTTCATAACATCTCAGTATGATTATTGAAAGAATGAGAGATAGAATAATATATAAAGAGAAAGAGAATGGGACTGCCAGTGAGCATATCATCTTATTTGATATCTTTTCTGTCTCAGTATGTTGCTATACAATCAATGTTGCATAGTGTTCATAATCGCGTTACTCTTACGTTTATCTATACATGATTGAGCCTTATTCTGTTTCTGTCGTAATGTGTTTCTCATTTTGTATCATCATTCACTTATATATTATATGTATTGTCATTATCTGTCTATTCTTACGCTGCTCTCATTACTCTATTTTTCTTCTATATCTGCTCTCTCATTGGCCTCATCTTCTTTCTTTTCATCATCTCTTATTCTACTCGTGTATATAAGTGTGTGCTTTATATGTAAACGATACGAATATATGATATGAAGGAATAGAATAAAGTGTATCTCCATCTGCACTAACATCCCTTCTATCATTTATCGTTACAAGACGATTGTATGATATGAAGGAGTTGGATAAAGTGTACGTTCATCTATACTATCTTCCCTTGTATCATTTTTATCGTCATATTCAGCGACTATAGAAAGAAAAGAAGTAGAAATGTTCGTTGAATTATACCACATAACCGATAGTTGATAAACACAAGGATTTAATAATGTGCAAGTAATAAAAATTACATCCAATATCGCTCAAACCGTCGGAGAACCGCCGGTGAACCGTGGTTTGCCAGCTCAAATTTTTCGCATATCACAGTGCGGTAATATTTTTAAACTCTTACAAAATCGTTAGAAATATGTTGAAATCATCGCCTCTTATATATGCAAACGCGCTGAACCCGTCGGTATCAGCCACTTCTTCTATATTTCCTTGGTTTTCGAGTTTAGGCTTTTATTAAAGATAGCACTATAAAAATAGTTATTCGCGAGATAACTTAATCAATACAAAAGTCATGATCGCCATTTGATAGAATTTTACTGTTGCATCATTATTCAGACATTTCTAAGTTGCAATCAGCTTTTTCAAGACTAAAAATATTAATCGAGAACGAAAATTATAAAAAAATCGATAAACGAACAGGAACCACTTCAAACCGGCGATTTTGATGAAAAATCGACTATATGGGATGGCTAATTAATTATATAGGAGCTAAATTTTAATTAAATAAGGAGGCTATAATGAACTAATAATGAATCGGATACACCATTACCCAAGAAGCAAAAAATATTTCGAATTATTTATAAGAAATGACAGTATGAAGACCTATTCAGTCTTGTGAACATGTTTTTGTGTGTAAGTTTAATAGCAACAACGACAAATAACACATAAATTTCGAAAAAATTACCTATTTTAATACATTGGGATACGGTAACGCGTTTTAACTTGTTTAAAACTCATTAATAACAGCGTTTTAATGATAATATTTCGTTTACACGGTGTTACTACAAAATCTCAACCCGTTTAAACATGTTAATTTTTAACGTTTATCTGCCTGGATCTAGAGAAGTCTCCTCGTTGTTTATTACTAAAAAGATCTAAAGAGATTACAATCTTACATATGCATACATTAACTCATTGTATGCGTAGATAATATTGCTTGGCCACGAGAAGAACACCACTTTAGTATTGATTTTGTTTTGTGTATAAACTAAAGCATAAGCTTCTGTATGTAAACTTAAAAAAGCCGCTTACCATCGTGCATCGAACCATATCGCGGAAAATGACAACAATAATTTCAAAATAAGGCTTCATGTTTTGTGTATGAATTTAATCATTATTTGTTTGCTCTTTCATTAGTTCGTCGTACAATCGAAACGTATCTCTACACAAAGTAACTAATAAGCGTCGAAGTATACGCAAAATAACGATGATAATATTCTTATGCTATATCTGTTTTTTGTGTTGCGAATTTTATCTTTCTTTTGCTTGTTCACTCATTCGTCCTTCATAATAAATACGATACTAATACGAAAAAATGCATCAAAATGTGCGCAAAACAATCACATGGATATAGTCAAAACAAAGCATGTTTTTTTTCTTTATACGAAATTTAACCTTGTATTGGTTGTATATTTTGAAAGTTCATTGTATATATTTATTTGTGCATGCCTTGATTTAAAAATTAAAATAAAATTAAAAAAACATCATTTGAACTAGTTATAATGGTTGTATAATAGTTATTTCAATACAATAATGATCTGAAATTTCCACGATTGAATTTAGCTTCTTTAGATGTTGAATATGAATCTATTTACTTTGTCATTTTAATTTCTTTTTCTTCTCTTTTTAATATAAGCTATGCGATAGTGAGACGGCAAGATGGCGAAACTCCTAGGAGTTATGAATCTAGTGGTCTTCTTCCTCTATTACTCTATCAACATCTTGCATTGTCATGGTAGATAAATTATTTTTTCTCTTATTGCTATGATTCTTTTGATGATTGTAGATGCTTCACATAGAATAGAAGATTGTTGTGCATTAAAAAATCATGACGATTTATCGACTTCTTAATGACGAAATAAACTGATTCCATGATTCATTGTTTATTTCCTACGCATCTCATTGTAAATGACAAACGTTTTCTCAAAATCAAATGTAGATTGATATGTGTTGTCTTAATTATGTTGTACAATCTTCGAATTCGATTTAATGTCATTATTTATAATAATTTCTTTGTGTTTTGATATACATGTATTTTAAATATGTTTTTGGTTGTTCTTTATAAATGGCTCCATACTTCTATAGTACTCAAAAAATATTCGATCTAGATTCATGTTAGCTTAGGCTCGCAAAATCTTTCTAAAGTTTAATAGGATAGGAAACAAATATTTGAATTTTTAACTGTTCCGATTTCCGTTTTAGTACTCCTATTCCATATAGAAATGGAAATTAGAATTTGGTATCTGATTTTCTACTTTTTATCTTTTTCATTTGTTGCAGTTTTATTTAATTTTTTGGTTTCTTGAATACCCTTCTCGACGATATTTGCTTGATACTTCAATTTTATACGAGTTCCTTGCAATTTATTTATCTTATCTTATTGGCTATTATAATTATTTGTTGTCGCAATTCTTTGGGATGCCACATTTTGTAACAACGATTATTTTAATAAATTATATTCATAATCGGAATCGCGGTTCAATAAACTATCGAATGCTGTGTGTTTTCCACACCATTCGATACTCATCGTATTATGACTGTTTTTCCACAATTTCGTATGAAGAAAATAGATGGTATTATTTTTTTCATATTCATAAATGAATCAGATTCAACTACTAATTGTATTAACACCTTGAGCAGATGATTCAACTTGTTCTTCATTTATTGTAGTTGTTATAATAGTACCATCGACATGCCTTCAGAATTTTCAAACTAGAATAATTTTAAAACAATTTTTCTCCATGTATTCATTTATCTAAAATATAGCTAGAATGGGTAACAAAGTGTTACCCACAAGTAAACCTTGTTTTTGTCTGTAGTATTTTCCACCAAACTGATGATAATTATTGTCTAATAATAATATTTGTTTTAGGTTTATCTTAATCAGATTTTACGTGCAGAAATTGTTGGAATTACATTCTGTATTTAGAACTATATCGTCTACAGCTGTTGTTATAGATGTGTTCGTAAATAAATGCTGTATACTTTGAATTTGAAGTGTTCCTATTAATTGTTCAATAAATGACAAAGCATATCTTGATGCAGGTGAGAGAATTGAATTTCTAATTAATGGCATTGGGCAATATTATTTATGTTCTTAAGGTTGTCCTCTTGTCCTTGCAAGATCATCGATTTATAAAAATTGATTTTTCATACTTTGAATACTTCAATTCGATTGGAACAATCTATTAGTAGTGTTGCTATTTTAGTCTTGATCATGTTTGTTTGATCTTTTACTTTTTCATAAAGGGTGTGGGTGTGGGTGTGGGTGTGGGTGTGGGTGTGGGTGTGGGTGGGTATGTGAGTGTGGGTGTGGGTGTGAGTGTGGGTGTGGGTGTGGGTGTGGGTTGGTGTGGGTGTGAGTGGTGTGTGTGGGTGGATGTGTGGGTGGGTGTAGGGTGTAGGTGTGGGTGTGGGTGGGTGTGTGGGTGTGGGTGGGGTGTGGATGTGGGTGGGTGGGTGTGGGTGTGGGTATGGATATAGTGGAAGTGAATACACCCACCCACACCCACACACCCACACTCTTCTTCAAATTCAGACGTTTAGAAAAAAAGAAAGAATTTCGAAAAACAATGTTTATTCAACGAAATTACCAGATGTAGTGATATAGCTGGCTGTGTGCGTTATATGGCAACCGTACTATTCCTCAAATTCAGTTTCAGTCCACAACCACACATTTTCAGATGAAAAATACACAAGATATACATTTGATTTCTTCTTTAACGTGCTGAGTTAAGATACTAGCATGATGAGAAAAATATTTACGCCATAAAATAAGAAACATCTTTGTTCCAGAAAGTAATTCAATTAAGATTTTTCATTAATCTTTTTTGACGACAACGAACGAACTCAATGACATTTATGATGCGATTTTTCTTGAGTGTATGATAAATTATCCGACTTCAGCAACAATATAAATCAATATCTGAATTTTAGCGACCGAAATTTTCAATTTCAACAAGCATAATATATTAATTACCATTGAAGATTCTTTGAGGAAACTGCCGCTCTTTCTTCCAATATGATGAGACATGTGCTCAACGAAAGAAAAACTAAACATTAATAGAATATGGAATCATACCCTAACGTATTAAACATCTTATAAAGCCTTATTTGATGGAAGTAAAACCATTTTAGAGGATCATCCATAACATTGCTTTAATGATAACTTTGATGTCTTCCGAAAATCTCAGTTTCCTTTCCTTTATATGAAAAACAAATTCAAAATATGGAGCAGAAAATGGCAATTTGACATTCAACATTCTAGAATTACAGATTCAAGCACCAAAAACAAGAATGTTTAAGGGAATCTTATGAAATTAAAGGTTGTGATAAAAAGAAAAGAAGAGAGCAAAGACATTATAAGTAGAAGAATTTTAGAAGAATTAAATGAGAAATAATGATTTTCATATTTTTCTTCAAATTTGATGAACCATTAGATTGACATATGAAAATAATA